GGATGGATTCCCAGGGGATTTCTGACAGACATTTAAAGGAGAGTTAATACCTATTCTCCTCAAACTGTTCCAAAAAATAGAAATGGGAGGAAAACTTCCAAATTCATTCTATGAAGCTAACATTACCTTGATTCCAAAACCAGACAAAGACCCCACTGAAAAGGAGAATTATAGCCCAATATCCCCGATGAACATGGATGCAAAATTCTCAAAAAAGTACTAGCAAATTGAATTCAACAGTACATTAAAAGAATTATTGACCATGGTCAAATGGGATTTATTCCTGGGCCGTAAGGGTGGTTCAACATTTCACAGATCAGTCAGCATAATACACCATGTTAAGAAAAGAAGGGGGAGCGCCTGGGTGGCTCAGTTGATTAAGCAACAGCCTTCGGCTCAGCTCATGATCCTGGAGTCCTGGGATCAAGTCCCGCATCTGTCTCCGTGCTCATCAGGGAGTCTACCCCTCCCTCTGACCCTCTCCCCTCTCATGCTCTCTCTCTCTCTCTCAAGTAAATAAATAAAATCTTCTTAAAAAAGAAAAGAAAAGAATGATAAGAACCAAATTATTCTCTGTGTAGATGCAGAGAAGTCTTTTGACAAAATACAGTATTCTTTCTTGATAAAAACCCTCAACAAAATAGGGATAGATGGAACATACCTCAGCATCATAAAGACCACATACAAAAGACCCACAGCTAATATCATCCTAAATGGGGACAAACAGAGCCTTTCCCTTAGGGTTAGGAGCAAGACAAGGATGTCCATTCTCACCATTTCTATTTAATATAGTACTAGAAGTCTTAGCCTAGCAATCAGACAAGAAAAAGAAGTAAAAGGTATCTAAATTGGCAAGGAAGAAGTCAAGCATTCACTATTTGCAGATGACAGGAAAATCTATGTAAGAAAACAAAAGACTCCACCAAAAAAGTTGCTAATACTAATACATGAATTTACAGGCACCTGGGTGGCCCAATGGGTTAAGTCTCTGCCTTCAGCTCTGGTCATTATTCCAGGGTTCTGGGATGGAGCACTGCATCTCTCTCTCAGCAAGGGGCTTGCTTCCCCCTCCAACTCTTCCTGCCTCTCTGCCTACTTGTGATCTCTCTCTCTCTCTCTGTCAAATAAATAAATAAAATCTTTAAAAAAAAAAAGAAAACTGTAGAACACTTATGAAAGAAACTGAAGAAGACAAGAGAAATGGAAAAGTATTCCATGCTCATGGATTGGAAGAAGAAACATTATTAAAATGTGTGTATTACCCAAAGTAATCGACACATTTAATGCAATCCCTATCAAAATACCACCAGCATTTTTCACAGAGCTAGAACAAACAATCCTAAAATTTGTATGGAACTACAAAGACCTTGAATAGTCAAAGCAATTCTGAAAAAGAAAAACAAAACTGGAGGCATCATGATTTTGTATTTTAAGCTATATTGTAAAGCTGTAGTCATCAAGACAGTATGGTACTGGCACAAAAACAGATACATAGGTCACTGGAACAGAATAGAGACCCCAGAAATGGACCCACAACTCTATGATCCACTAATTTTCAACAAAGCGGCAAAGAATAAAAGACAGTCTCTTCAACAAATGGTGTTGGGGAAACTGGACAGTGACATGCAGAGGAATGAAATTGGACCACTTTTTTACACCAACACAAAAATAAATTCAAAATGGATGAAAGACTTAAATTGAGACAGGAAACCATCAATATCCTAGAGGAGAACACAGGCAGAAACCTTTTACTTCGGCTGTATCAACTTCTTACTAGATACGTCACTGGAGGCAAGGGAAACAAAAGCAAAAATGAACTATTGAGACTTCATCAAGATAAAAAGCTTTTGCACAGCACAGGTAACAATCTATAATACTAAAAGTCAGTTTCCAGAATGGGAAAAGATATTTGCAAATGACATATCTTATAAAGGGTTCTAAAATCTATAAAGAACTTATCAAACTCAATACCCAAAACCCAAATAATCAAGTTAAGAAATGGCAGAAGACATGAATAGACACTTTTCCAAAGAAGACATCCAGATGGCTTACAGATACATGAAAAGATATTCAACATCACTCATCGTCAGGGAAATACAAATCAAAACCATGATGAGATATTAATTCACACCTGTCAGAATGACTAAAATTAACAACACAAGAAACAACAGGTGTTGGCGAGGATGCAGAGAAAGGATAATCCTTGTGCACCGTTAGTGGTAATGCAAACTGTGCAGCCACTCTGGAGAACAGTTTGGAGGTTCCTCAAAAAGTTAAAACTAGCACTACCATATGATCCAGCAATTGCACTGCTAGGTATTTATCCAAAGGATACAAAAATACAGATTTAAGGGGTACATGCACCCCAATATTTATAGCAGTGTTATGAACAATAGTCAAATTATGGAAAGAGCCCAAATGGCTGTTGACTGATGAGTGGATACAGAATATATCAACACACACACACACACACACACACACACACAGAATATTCATCAACCATCAAAAAGGATGAAATCTTGCCATTTGCACCTCATGGATGGAACTAGAATGTATTATGCTCAGTGAAATAAGTCGGTCAGGGGAAGAGAAATACTATATGATCTCATTCATATGTGGAATTTAAGTAAGAAATAAGATGAATATATGGGAAGGCAGAAAAGGGGGAAAAAAAAAAGGAGAGAGGGAAACAAGCCAGCAGTGACTCTTAACAATAGAGAACAAAGCGAGGGTTGATGGATGGGTGAACTCAATGAGTGATGGGTATTTAAAGAGGGCATTTCTTGTGATGAGCACTGGTTTGTTTGTTTGTTCATTTTTTAAAATTTTATTTATTTATTTGACAGAGAGCACAGTAGGCAGAGAGGCAAGCAGAGAGAGAGGAGGAAGCAGGCTCCCCACTGAGCAGAGAGCCCAATGTGGGGCTCCATCCCAGGACCCTGGGATCATGACCTGAGCCGAAGGCAGAGGCTTCAACCCACTGAGCCACCCATGCACACCTAGCACTGGTTTTATGAAGTGATAAATCACTGAATTCTACTCTAGAAATCAATATTGCGCTCTATGTTAACTAAAATTTAAATCTAAAAAATAAATAAAAATTAAAAATCAATATACTGAAAACCATTGAATTTTACTCTTAAAATGGGTGAGTTTTATGGTATGTGAATTATATCTCAATAAAGCTGTTTCAGAAAACCTCAACAAATTCCATATACTATTATGTGGAAGAGGGAAGTCTTTGAAAAGATGAGGAAAGACAGGATCCAGAATACAAGTGGAGGAACTGGCCTTTGAAAGAGGAAGAATATAAAAAAAAAAAAAAAAAGAGGAGGGATATTACCATTGTGCTATATTTGTAAAAGTAGTCGTGTAGTGGTAGCAACATGGGCTTTGTGCTTAGAAGGATCTCACATTTCATTTAATGCTCTGCTCTTGCCCTGACATTTTTAAATAGTTTTCTTAAACAAGAGGCCCCACATTTTTAGTTTGTACCAGGTCCCCCAAATTGAGTCCTGAGAGGTCACATCTTTTGATTCCTTCTGTTGTTGTTAGGCAATGTTGTTGGGTAATGTTGGGTAATGTCAGCAGAGAATGGAAGGGATTATTTCACTCTCGTCTCAGAATCCAGATAAATGTAGAAACATTTCCAGTCTGTGGTTTTTCCTTTTGAGTTTGTGGTGACTTTGATATGTCCAGTGCTTAGTTGCAGTGGAGGTATGGAAGATGTTGATGTCAGGAGTAATCTAGGGTTGGGGGTTTGTCAGACATCTGTGATAGAAGGAGAAAGGGTTAATGACAATGATGGAAGGTGATAGATGAGGAAGGAATGACAGGAGAAGGATAATGTATGAAGATAAGTGGTAGGATCAGTAAGTTGGAGATTTCATTGAGGGAGGAGTTTATATCATGAAGATAATTGAACGTGGGTTGGAAGGATATAAGAAACTATTCAAATTGGCAATTCTCTAATTTCTGTTGATGGTAAGAGCTGTGTTTGATTTATGTAGTGACTAAAATGCCATGAGGGGAAAAGATTATTGAGAATGCAGAGGTCAAGCAACTGGGAGGCCAGTTGGTTAGATGGATTATCAATTTGTGTGATGAAACTGCTGAGAATAATGACAGGAGTCAGAGAAAAAGCTGTATGTAAGGCATATATGAGGGAAATGGATCGGTAAATGCCGGTAAGTACTTTGCTCTTTGCTGCATACCCTTGTTCTTTTCTTTGCTTAGAATGAACCTTATAGCTCCTTGGTTTCCTTCCTTCTTTCCCCTCCCCTCCCTCTACCTTCTCTTTATCCTCTCAGCCACAACTCAAAATACTGTCATTCTTTCAAGACTCAACTCAAATTGTACCTCCTCAGTTATGTTGAATATATATAAACTGGGAATACTATTATAAATACATCTCAGAAGCACTGGACAAGTTACATAGGACAAGCAGTTACTCAGCAGTCTGCAGTTTTAGTCAGAGATTAATTGGTAAAGCAACACACTTTTTTGTAGTTGTAGCTTCCTGATGTCTTAACACTTTTGGTTTCTTAAATGAAGATTATTACATAATAAATACATTTATATAAATGTATTTGACGTTTTCTCTAAAATTTAGTTTTAACCATTGGCAGATGGACAGATCTCATTACGTATTTTTTTACTGAACACTGTTTGGGAGATGTTACCTTAAATGTGGTAGGGAAATTTTTTGAGTTGTGTGTATTTTAAGCTGTTTTGTCTTTTAATAGATTTTATTTTTTAATACATAGAAAACTTTACTTTTTTTTAATGAAAGTATCTTTAACTTGAAAACTTTTTCAAGTTGAGAGAATAACAGTAGAATTATCTATCTATAAATTTATATGTATATATGATTGATGTATATACCCTATTTTAATCATAATAATTACAACATATTTCTATCACAATAAAATATCTGAGAAGTGCTACAAATGTTTTTATAGTACTATGAAATGTATTTCATGAATATGAATTTGTTTCAGCCAGAAAAAGATCCTGAACCTAGAAATACATATTTTCAAACAAAGTTAAGGTCTCATCATGTAAAAATCAAGGTTCCTTCAAGTAGATCAATTACCAAAGTTCCATTGTCTCAGCTCCTGGAACCTGCATTGGTAAGCTCTGACCTTCTATTAAATAATTCTTGAAAAGCATATACCAAGGAAATGTACTTATTGGAAAGATTTAGATATGCCTAACTTCTTAACAAATCTAGGGAAAAAATGCAGAGAGCTTTATGTTTACAACTATACACAGATTAAAAAAATAGATTGTCAGTTAACAATTGTGTGTCTTGGGACCACTGGGAAGCAGATATTCAAGCAGAATTGAGTTCAAGTGGTGTACTGAAAGGGGTAATACCCGAGGAAGGAGCAGGGAGAAAGCTGCATTGGGCAGGAATAGTCTTAGCCCTCAATATACATCTGCCAAAAGCTCTCCCATTTCAAGGTCTGGAGCAAAGATTATCCATTACAGGATTCTTACGTTGCTTCCTATGCTCAAACCTTGGCTGAGGGTTGCCTGAGAAGATGATGGGCTCAACCTGAAAGCTGAAGCAGATTCCAGAGAAGTTGCAATGGGCCAGGGGGTGGCTGTCACCTAACTGCACTCCTTGCAGTGGAACAGCAGTTTCTTTGTTCAGGGAGATCTGCCTAGAGCACCTCCATGGCAGCCACAATGATAAATAATAACTGTCACTGAGTATCTCCTACTCTACAGGTTCTCTTTACATGTATTCTTTGTAACTGTTGTACAGCAATCCTTAGGAGTAGAATAATCCCTGTTCAGATGAAGAGAAGATAAAATAGCTAATGAATTAGAGAGCTGACATATTCAGTGTGCCAGGGAAATATACCCATAAAATTTTTTTGATAGAAAATTTCCTAGTAAATGATCCCATATTACATCTTGAACAAACAACTAGTTTAAGAAATGTTAAGCCAGAAAGGAAAAGAAGAATGAAAAAAATGAGGAAAGAAAGAAGAAAGAAACCTAACATAAACTTTCCTGTGATGTTCAATTTCCAACTCTGGGTTTGTGTTCCAAAGTTGGCAGCATATAATAAACACCTATTCAAAGAGATTTATCAGAGGGACTGATTGTTTCATGGAATCCCAAAGTTGAAAAGATAGCTGATTGCTAGAAATAAAGTTATCTATCTTCTCTCTTTTTGAATAATTGTGTCACTCTGTTTTGCTGCTCTCCTTCTCTGACTTTTTCCCTGGTTTTTGTCTCTTCGACTCCAGCTCTTTGTTCTTTCTGTCTCTGCTTTGATCTCTCTCCATCTGCCCTTCTCTGTCTCTGACTCTGTTTCTCTGTCATTTCCTTTCTGTTCATAGTCTGTTGGTCTCCATCTTCTCCATCTTTCTTCTCCCTCCCTCTCTCTTCTTAGTGTTCCTCTCTTTTGTCTCTCATCCTCCCTCTCTTCCTTTCTTTTTCCCTCGCCCACCTCATCTCTCCTCCTTTTCCCTCTCCCATCCCTCCCTTTCTCTCTTAACTTTTAGGACTCTCATCCTGTCTTTCTCTTGCTCTCTCACTCTTTCTTGATTTGTCCACCTGTCCAATATCTGTCTGCCTCTTTGCATATTCAGGAAATAGAAAATGAGTCTTTATAATTTCTCTAACTTTGATATTAAATAAATGGAAGTATGTATATATATTTAAATGTATGTATTTTAAACCAATTATCCTTATTAGATATATGTTTAACAGCTTCACAAATAACTTATAATCCCTTTCCATGAAAAGTACAATAATATACTAGCAATTAAACAAATGATAAAGGTAAAATAATTTTCTTAGCAGTAAAAAAGATAATTAAACACCATTTCCCAGTTCAAAACTTTAATTAGCTTTTCTTCCTAAATTAAGAGCAATTTCACCCAAAGTATTCTTGTAGTATTCTTGTGCCATGCAGAACTCTCAAGAGTTCCTTGACCTAGCTTAAGCCAGAAAATTCTTTAGTTACTTGTCTAGTGGTTTAAATTTAATTAGCACATTAAAGTTTTATTAGTATGACACTTTATAATCTAGTCTACTAATTTGATATTATGTTTTTACTGTATTAAATTAGTTTATTTATTTATGCTATTCAATCTCCTGTTTCACAAAACACTGATAGACAACAAATTCTAGTATTCCTGATAAGAAGAGCAGAGGCCTCTTAACAAGTACACCATCTTCACAAACTGCTGGTTTAGTGGTAAGTATTAGCATTTGTCACTTTTAGTATCTATGTTTTGGTTCCCCCTCTTCCCTATTATTCTGTTTCTGTCACACCAGGGAAATAGTCTATTTAGGGAATAATGTCTATTTTTCTGTTGTATAGACTTGCTTTCGCTGGATGTACTCTATATACTGCTCTACATAAAAGAAAAATTAGAGGGGCACCTGGGTGGCTCAGTGGATTAAAGCCTCTGCCTTCGGCTCGGGTCATGATCCCAGGGTCCTGGGATTGAGCCCCTAGTCGGGCTCTCTGCTCCGCGGGGAGCCTGCTTCCTCCTCCTCTCTCTCTTTCTGCCTGTCTCTCTGCCTGCTTGTGAGCTCTGTCTGTCAAGTAAATAAACTTAAAAAAATTAGAATACTACAGCACCAACCAGGGTTTTCTTTTTTTTTTTTGTTGTTGTTGTTGTTGTTGTTGTTTGTTTTTTATTGTGGCACAATGTAACATAAAGTTTAACATTTTTAACTTTTTTTTTTTTTTTTTTTTTGGAGAGAGACAGAGAGCATACAAGCAGGGTGTGGGAGGGGCAGAGAGCAAGAGAGAAAGAGAATCTTAAGCAGGCTCCACTCCCAGTGCAAAGCCAAACTTGGAGCTCTATTTCACAACCTTGAGATCATGACCTGAGCCAAAATCAAGAGTGGGACACTTAACTGACTCAGCTACCCAGTTCTAAAATTTACCATTTTATCCCTTTTTAACTGTATAGTTCAAGTACATTCACATGTTGTGCAACCATTACTTTTTTTAATGCAGATTTTCTTGCAAAGTTTTTCTTCTTGCAAAATTGAAACTCCATACATTAAACACTAAATACCCATTTCTCCATCCCTCACTCCCTCTCAACCACAATTCTACCTTCCCCCTCTGAATTTGACTGCTCTATATACTTCATATAAGTGGAATCATACAGTATTTGTCCTTTTGTGACAGATTTCATTTAACATAGTGTTTCATCCATGTTGTAGCATATGTCAACTTTTTTCCTTTCTATAGGCTGAATATATTCCATTGTATGTATATACCACATTTTGTTTATCTTTTCATCTGTCTGTGGACAATTGGGTTACTTCCACCTTTTGGCCAGTGTGAATAATGCTGCTTTGAACATGAGTGTTCAAATATTTCTTTCTGTCTCTCTTTTCAGTTCTTTTGGTATACACTTTAAAGTGGAATTGCTGTATCAAATGGTAATTCTCATTTTTAACTTTTTGAGGAACTGACATACTGTTTTCCATAACAGCTGCTCTATTTTAAAGTCCCAGTAACAATGCACAATGGTTCCAATTTCTCTACATCCTTCCCAACACTTGTTATTTTCTATGTGTTTTTCAAAATAATCGCCATCCTCATGGGTATGAGATGATATCTCATTGTGGTTTTAATTTGTATTTCCCTTATGGCTAGTGATGTTGAGCTTCTTTTCACATGCTTATTGGCCCTTTTATCTTCTTTTAAGAGATGTCTGTTCAAGTCTATTGCCCATTTCTTAATCAGCTTATTTATTTGTTGTTGAGTTATAGGAGGTTTTTTTTTTCATGTATTCTCTATTTTAAACCCTTGTCAGATATATGGTTGGCAAATATTTTCTCTCATTCTATGGGTTACCTTTTCATTCTGTTGATAGTATTCTTTGAAGCACAAAAGCTTTAATTTTTATCTAGTCCAATTTATCTGTTTTTTTCCTTTTCCTGCGCTTTTGGTGTCATAGCTGAGAAATTATTGCAAAATTCAATGTTATTAAATTTTACCCCTCTGTTTTCTTCTAAGAGTCTTATAATTTGGCTCTCATCCAACCAGAGTTCTTCTTAGGTTCAACTAAACAATAGAAATACAACTTACAAGCAGGGCAGAAACAGGTGTTCCCCTTCAGTGGGATCAGTCTTCACAGAAGTCTATGGAGCAGTTGACTTAGCAGTTTGGGTACAGCTCAGACACAAGTAGATGAGATCCATATCTTTTGTAATACCACACAGACATAGCTTCCAGTGTCCCCACAAGAGACATGCCAAATTACAAGAGTCAGGGAAATCCAAACTATGGTGCTTTTCATAAGGTTTATTTACATATAGTGCATTTATCATTTATTCATAGTGCAGTTATAGTTCTTCCTAGTCCAGATGCAATTTATCAATCAGACATCATTTTTACCATTAGCAATGTTGGCATTGTTACTTTATCAGGTTCCATTAGGAACTGAGCATGAGAATTAAGCGAAGATCAGTTTTTCAAGCTGGGATGAAGGGTCCTTTATAGGTTTACTTATTCTGGCTATTTCATTTAAATGGAATCATATAATATGTGGCCTTTTGTGTCTGGCTTCTTTCACTTAACATAATGTTTTCTAAGTTCATCCATTTTATAACATACACTTTCTTCCTTACTTTTGACTGAATGATATCCCATGGTAAGGATATACTACATTTTGTTTACTAATTTGTCAGTTTGGGGACATTTGAAAAATAATATTGCTATGAACGTTCACGTACAAGTTTTTATGTGAATATGTGCTTTCAGTTGTATTTTGTATATGCTTAGAAGAGGAAGTAGAATTGCTGAGTCACATGGTAACTTATGTTTAACACTTTTTTTGTAGTGGGCTTTTTAAAACAGCTTTATTGAGGTATAATTAACATACCATACAATTCACCTATTTAGAGTGTGAAATGCAGTGTTTTTTTAGTACATTCACAGGTATGTGTAATCATCACCACAGTCAATTTTAGAATCTTTTTATCACCTCAGAGAGAAACTCCGTACTTTTTCCCAAGGAAATGCTTCTAATGAGATAACATTTCACCTTTAATTATGTAAAAAGAATTGTTTCTGCCACATTTGACATCTGTAAGAGTAATATATTTTTTTATAGATTGATTTGTCCTCAGTGCAAAAAACATCTTTTGAAGAACTATTTCCAAATGTCAGCAATTATGTTAATTCAAATGAAATTGTTCCTGTGTCAAATTTGCAAGAATGCTCTTCAAATGAGGTTAGTATTTTCCATTTTTTCTTCAATTATTGAAATTAATACTGTTATATTGGATACTTTGTATATAAGATACTTTAAGAAATCTGTAACTCATTTGAGGCTAACATCATCCACATGAGGAGGCAGCTATCAGTTACAATTCTAAATAAAGAATGTTAGGCTGCCAGGGCCAGAACTCTACATTGTGAGGGCCTGAGGCTATTAAATTCTTAACTAGAGGAAACACTGTTAGCCTGCTTTGATTCATGGCTCTGTTTTCATCTGTACATATAAATTAATAATCACCAATTTCATTTTGTTAGGATGAATACACGGAAGTACTATGCTCCTTTGAAAAAGAAGACATAAAATTCATGAAACTAAGAGCCATGGGTGTGGGAATAGTGCTAGAGGATGAGCAGAAAAAGAGAGTACAGAAAGTGGGGTGAGGAGAAAGAAAGAGCCAGAAAGAAGGGACATGGGAGCAGACGGAGAGACAGAAGGACAGAGTGGGAGAAAGAGGCAGAGAGAAAAAGACATAAAAAGGCAAAACTCAAGGGATATGTAGTGCTTCACTGTAGCTAGGCCTTTTCAGTGTGACTCTGTGATGAGGGTGGGAATCTGGATGGTGAGAGAAAGCTGGAGATGAGACTGTAAAGATAAACAAGGGCCAAGATCTCAAAGGGTCTTTAATCCATATTGAGTAATTTGGATCTTTTTCCTGAGAGGAGCCAATAAAGAATTCTGAACAAGGGATGATATCATATGTCTTTCTGGCTCCAGAGGTGGAGAACAGATTATAAAAAGCTGAGACTAGAGATAGTTAGAGGGATAATTTCCTGGGAGAGAGAGAAAGAAAATGTAGGTAAGAGGTTGAAGGGAAGTAAAAATAGATTGAAGTAAGGACTTGGAATGGAAGAAGTTGAGAAACACAAGATTATAGCCCATTATTGAGAGGCCAGGTGAAACTGGAAACTATTACCTCTCTTAAAAAGCATCTTTATTGAGGAATAATTTATATGCAATAAACTGCACATATTTAAAGTGTATAATTTGAAAATTTTCACCTATGTATGCAACTGTGAAACCACCAACACAGTCTAGATCATGAAAATATCTGTCAACCCAAAAGTTTCTTCCTCCTGTTTTATATTTTTTTCCTTCCTGCCCCTGTTACCCAAGCAACTACTGATCTAGTTACTGTAATTATAGATTGGTTTACATTTTCTAACGTTTTGGGGTCATTCAAGTGAGAGAGAGAGAGAATTTTTGGTCTGGTGTCTTTAACTCAGCATAATTATTTTTGAGATTCATTCATGTTGCTGAGTATATCAATACTTTGGTCATTTTTACTGCTAAGTAGTATTCCATTTATGGTACACAAAAGTTTATCCTTTTACCCATTTATGGACATTTGATCATTTAGCTATTAGAAACATTCATGTACAAGTATTTGTATTACAAAGATTCTCTCTTTGATTGAACTTTAGTTAGGCTCTTCTGAGCCCTCTTCTCAACTAGGTCTTGTGTACATCCTTGCTGAGTATAGTTCTAGCAAGAATTTTCTCCCACCCTTGATATCTGATTTCCCACCCTTGATCTGATCTGATTTGATCTGGCCTGCCTTTGACACTCTGGCCTCTTAGGTCTAATTGGGTTCCTGGATCTAGTTTCAAAGTGTGTGTATGTGTGTGTATAGGAGAGTTGCCCACACCTCCAACAGGCAATACTTCTGACATCAGCTGGGTGTCCTAGAATTCAATCCAATTTTTCACTATCTACCTGAAGATAGCTTTAGATTCCACAGGTAAAGGGCTTAGTTCCACAAAACCACCCTCTACTTGAGATGCCACTTGCCAGTATAAGTTGTTAATTGTGCTTCTGACCAACTACCTATAAATCAGAAGTTCCCATGACCCCCTCCTTGGATTTTATTAACTTACTGGAGAAGCTTACAAAAGTCAAAGAAACATTTTACTTACTTGATTACTGGTATATTGTAAAAGAATATAACTCAGGTATAGCCACGTGGAAGAAATGCATAGGGCAAGGTATGGGGAAAGGGCAAGGAGCTATACATGGATCGTACATACATATATACATTGTATGTTGTGCAAATGAGGCTGGTGCTCCTTCTTGGGCAGAGATTTTAGTATTATGATGAGGTAAAGGTAACTGTCATTACGTGAGTCATTCCATAGTTTATCTGTACAGACATAAATCAGAGGAGAGGGAGATGCTCAAACTGGTCTGGGGGTCTGAGCCTTGGGAGCTTTTCCTTCAGGTAGTCGTTATTTCTTGAGAGATAGTTTGGTTCCCATCACAGGATGCGAGGTCTTTGCCTGGGTTAAGAGATAAACTGGAAGAAAGAGCTAAAGGGGAAATGTGGGACAAAGGTTGGTGGCTACAAGCAGGTGAGCAGTAAAGGTAAGGTCTTGGAATATAGCCGGTAACAGCTTCATTACATAGGTATGTTTGATTAAATCATTGGCCATTGGCAACCTAGTAAACCTCTATCTCCTCTCCCCTACCTGGAGGTTATGGCTCAGGCCTGATCCAACCCTGTAATCCAGAATTAGTTCCCCTGGCAAGGAGCTCCCTTCCTTAGGTGCATTCCTAAAGTTTTATCACATTAGCAAAAACACCCTTATGGTTCTTATCACTTAGGAAATTCCAAGGGTTTTAGGAGCCTCGTGCTAACAATGGGGATGAAAAACAAATAGATACTTCTTTTTGAAAATTTCAATATCAGGGCACCTGGGTGGCTTAGTCAGTTGACTGGTTGACTCTCGATTTCAGCTTGGGTTCATGATCTCAGAGTCCTGAGATCAAGCCCCGCATCGGGCTCGTGCTCAGCCTGGAGTCTGCTGGAAATTTTCTCTTTCTCTCCCTTTACCTCTGCTCCTCCCCTGGCTCATGTTCTCGCTCTCTCTCTCAAACAAATATAGATGAATAAACCTTAAAAAAAATTACTATATCACAAGGTCAATTTAATAAGAATCTCTTTGCGCTTGATGTCTCCTCCCGTAATATTTCAATAACTGACACCCATTCTGCTGATCAGCTGTGCATCCCTGGCTGTATTTGCTATATTTGGATTTGAGCCAAATTTCTCTCCTCTATTTCAATACCTTATCATGTGTCTTTTTGTGTGTGTGAATAAAGGTTTCTTTTCTTTTTAATTTAACATTTAAAATTCAATTAGCCAACATATAGTGTATCTTTGTTTTAAAAGTATGATTGATATACAGTGTTACATTAGTTTCATCTGTACAATATGTGAGTGAACCCTATTACAATAATCTTGAATAAAAATCTTACTGTAATACTAATTATCAGAATAATTTCTTCTTTAACTGTAAGGTTATATATTTCCTTTCCTGTTGGGTAAGTACCTAAGAAATTTCCAAACTGTTTTCCAAAGTGGTGGTACCATTTTACATTTCCACCAACAATGTTTGAGACTTGTAGTTTCTCTACATCTACATTTCATCTTCATTTAGTCCTGTCACACTTATAATCTTAACCTTTAGTTAATTTAATCTTAACCATTAGTACAGTCTTTTAATCTTAACCTTCCCAATTAGTATGAAGTGATATCTTACTCTGGTTTTAATTTGCATTTCCCTAATGACCAATAATGTTGATCACATTTTCATCTGTTTATTTGCCTATCTATGTATTTATTTTGGTGACATACCTGTTCATATCTTTTGCACTTTAAGAAAATTGTTTATTTTCTTATTGTAGAATTTTAAGAGTTCTTTATATATTCTTGATGCAAATCCTTTATCAGATATATATATACTTTGAAAGATATTATCCCGGTCCATACCTTGTTTTTTTATCCACTCCACTGCCTTTTTTAAAACATGAAAAAAATGCTTTATTTATCTTACATATCATAAAATTCACCCATTTCAAGTTTACAATTCTGTAATTCTTAGTAAGTTTATGGAATAGTACAGTAATTACCTATATCAGTTTTAGAACATTTTCCAAATCCTTCACACTTATTTACAGTTAAGCCCTGTTCTCATGCCCAGCCCCAGGCAAATACTAGTCTACTTTCTGTCTCTAGAGTAACTTTTTCTGGACATTTGTTATAAATGGAATCATAAAGTCTGTAGTTTCTTACAAAATGGTGTCACTTAAAGAACATACATTTTTAATTTTGATGAAGTCCAACTTGTAAGTTTTTTGTTTATTTTTCTCATGGGTATGCTTTTGTTGTCATATCTAAGAAATCTTTGCCTAACCCAGGGTCACAAAGATTTTCTCCTACGTTTTCTTCCATAAGTTTTAAAATTTTACACTAATAACTGTGAGTTAATTTTTTACTTTTGGTGTGAAGTATGGATTCCAGTGTATTTATTTATTTCCATATAGACATTCAATTATTCTAGCAACATTAGTTGAGGGTTATTCTTTCTCCACTCTATTGCTTTTCCACCTTTGTTGAAAAAAGGTAATCCATGTATTTGTACAAGCTTGTATAAGGTTTTACTGTTGTCTATATTTGTGCAAGTACCACACAGTATTGAATAATGAAGCACTATAATAATTCTTGAAATTAGTTAGGGTTAGCCTCTAACTTTGTTTTTCTTTTTCATTTGTTTTGGTTATTCTAGGTCCTTTGCATTTCTATATGAATTTTAGAATCAGCTTGTTGATTTCTACAAAAAAAAAAATCCTGATGGAATTTTGATTAGGATTACATTGTATCTACAGCTTAATTTGGGAATAATTGATATCATGACAATATTGAGTCTTCCAACCCAAACACAATGTATAGCTATCCATTTTTTGGCTCTTCTTTAATTTCTGTACAAATTCTATAGTTTTCACTGTTTGGGTCATTATTCCTACTTGATATCATTATTTCCCTCCTGATGATAGTGTTTCATATTATTGATACTGTATATAAGTGGTATTCTCAATTTCAATATCTGAGTAGAGAAATGTGTGTGTGTGTGTGTGTGTGTGTGTGTGTGTGTGTGTGTATTGATCATTATATTAGTCTCTTTGGTTTTCCACAATAAAATATGATAGACTGGTTGGCTTACATAACAGAAATTTATTTTCTCATAGTCCTGGAGGCTAGGAAGTCCAAGACCAAGGTGTTAACCTACTCAGGTCCCAGAAGAGCTCTCTTCTGGCTTGGAGATGTCCACCTTCTTGCTATGACTTCATATGGCCTTTTCTCTCTTTGCATGAAGTATTAAAGTCCTCTGGTGTTTCTTCCTCCTCTTAAAAGGGCACCAGCACTTTCAGATTAGGACCTTGCCCTTATTAAGTCAGTTAACCTTTTATCACCCTCTCACAGAGCCTATTTCCTCTCACAGAGCCTATCTCTGTGTATTTATTCTTTGATCCATGGCCTTTTTAGAAGTACGCAATTTCTTGTCCACATATTTGGAAATTTTTCAGAGATCTTTCTGTTACTAATTTCTAATATAATCCCATTGTGGTCTATGGCCGTTCTTCGTATGCCTTGTATGTATGCCTTTAGTGAGACATGTTTTATAATTCATTTGGTTTATTTTGGTAAATGTTCTGTGTATACTTGAGAATGATGCATATTTTCCTTTTTTTTAGTAGAATGGTCTACAGTATCAGTCATGTCAGGTTGGTTGGTGGTAATGTTCAAGTCAATTATATCTTTGCTGATTTTTGCCTACTTAGTCTATCAATTATTAAGAGGTATTAAAATACCAGACTGTAAGGGTGGGTTTGTCCATTTCTCCTTTAATTTCTTTTTTACTTTATCTTACTTATTTATTTGAGAGAGAGAGCATGAGCTGGGGGAGGGGCAGAAGGAGAAGCAGATTCCCTGCTGAGCTCGACATGGGGCTCAATCCCAGGACCCTGCGATCATGACTTGAGCCAAAGTCAGATGCTTAACTGACTGAGTCACCCAGGCGCCCCTCTCTCATTTCATTTCTATCCTTTTTGTTTTATATATATTTTGAGGCTCTGTTACTAGGTGTGTAAACAGTTAATATGGTTTAGGATTGTTATTTTTTTTTTGATTAATTCAAGATCCTTCATTATGAAGGAACTTCTTTATTCCTGGTAATGTTCTTTGCACAGAAATTTACTTTTTCTGGTATTAATATAGCTACTCTTGCTTTCTTTTAACTGTTGTTAACATGGTATGTATTTTTGTGTACTTTTACTTTCTTAAAAATGATTTTCTTAATTTTTAGAGAAATTTTAGATTTACAGCAAAATAGAGAGAGACATGCAGAGATTTCTTATAGCCCACTGCTTCAGTACATGCATAGCCACCACCATCACTGACATCATTCACCAAGGAGCACTTTTTTTTTTTTTAAACCAAGGATAAACCTGCATTGGCACATTACAATCACCCCACACATTCCACAGTTTAACTTAGGGTCCACTCTTGGTATTGTGCATCCTGTGGGTTTGGATAAAGGTTTATTATTGTCAGTATTTTAGATATTGGCCATTCTAATAGGTATGTAGTAGTATCCAATTGTTGTTTTATAAAGATTTTATTTATTTATTTGACAGACAGATTTCACAAGTAGGCAGAGAGGCAGGCAGAGAGAGAGAGGGGAAGAAGCAGGCTCCCTGCTGAGCAGAAAGCCCGATGCAGGGCTCGATCCCAGGACCCTGGGATCATGACCTGAGCTGAAGGCAGAGGCTTTAACCCACTGAGCCACCCAGGCGCCCCTCCAATTGTTGTTTTAATTTGCATCTCCCTGATTAGGAAATAAGATGTGGAGCGTTGTTTAATATACTTACTTGGCATCTGTATATCTTTGGTGAGGTGTCTGGTAAGGTCTTTGGCCCATTTTTTAATTATGTTGTTTTCTCATTGTTGAGATGTAAGGAGACCTTTGTAAGAGTTATGACCCCTTGGAGTATCCTGCCTAATAAGAGTGTCTTTGTAGGGGCGCCTGGGTGGCTCAGTGGGTTAAGGCTCTGCCTTAGGCTCAGGTCATGATCTCAGGGTCCTGGGATCGAGTCCCGCATCGGGTCTCTGCTTGGCGGGGAGCCTGCTTCCCTCTCTCTCTCTGCCTGCCTCTCGGCCTACTTGTGATCTCTCTCTCTCTGTCAAATAAATAAATAAAATCTTTAAAAAAAAAAAAAGAGTGGCTTTGTATGTCCTGTGCTATACCATATAGTTTATACTAAATGTGATTTATGCTAAATACCTGTTTTTCATGCTTAAGGCTTTGGGCAACCTTTGTATCAGTTTGAACTCTAGGAGATGGGTCTGAATCAAGGTTTACTGGGCTCTTCATGTTGGCAACACTTTGCACATGGGAAAACTAAATGTTATCCATGTGACTCAACTAGGAGAAGACAACTGGAAGCTTATTATCTGCATTGAGTTCTGTATACTTTTTCTCCTGGACTCTCACCTATGTGCCTCTTCCCTTTGCTGATTTTTGTCTGTATCTTATTGTGTAATAAGCCTTGACTGTGACTATACCAGCTTTTCTGAATCTTGTGAGTCCTTTGGCAAATCATTGAGTCTGAGGTGGTCTTAGGGACTGAAATACCTTTTTATTTTCTGGATTTTTTAAAGTTCTTATTGTGGGTGTGCTATAATTTCACTGGAGTGTATACATAAAGAGATTAATATTTTATTTGCTGTTGGCTTTTTGTTCTTTACTTTTTATTTTTATTTATTTATTTTTAAGATTATACTTATTTTTGAGAGAGAGGGAGTGAGAGAACAAGCAGGGGAGGTGGGGAGAAGGAGAAGCAGACTCCTCACCGAGTAGGGAACCTGATATGGATCTCAATCCCAGTCCCCTAGGATCATGACCTGACCTAAAGGCAGACACTTAACCCACTGAGCCACCTAGGTTCCCCTGTTCTTTATTTTTTAAAGATTTATTTATTTACTTTGGAGAGAGAGAGAAAGTGCAGGGGGAGGGCCAGAGGGAGAGGGAGAGAGAAAGAGAGAGGGGGGAAAAAAAATCCCTGCTAAACGCAGAACCAAATGTGGGGTTTGATCTCAAGACCCTGAGATCATGACCAGAGCCAAAAATCAAGAGTTGGATATTTAACTGATTGAGCCACCTAGACACCCCTGTTGGTTTTTCATTGTAATGTTGTTTGGGATATTAGTCTTTCTGAATGTGTGCACTCATGTTTCTCATCAGTTTGGGAAATTTCTCAGCTATTATCTGTTTTATTCTCTCTGGGATGATAATTAACATATGTTAGACATATTTCTATCCTCTGTATCTTTCAAACTCTCTTTAATATTTTTCATTTATTTGTTGTATTCTGGGTAATATCATCAGTAATTCTTTAGTTGTGCCCACTTTGCTGCTTAAGGCTTCCATTAAATTTTGTATTCAACAATTTTATTTTTCATTTCAAGGTATTCTAGTTGTTTCTTTTTCACATCTGCTTTTCAGTCCAGATAGTTTCTTGTTTGCTCATCCATGAGATTTCAATAGTTATTTCTTTAATCATTTCATACATTGTTATTCTATTCTGATTTGGCACTTCTGATATTGGATGTTCTGGGGGCTTAACTCCCCTCTTTGATATTCCTGTACAGTCTTACACATGGTAGCTTGATTTCTTATGAATTTGTTACTTCCTTTATTGTTGTTATAATAACATGAGAGGATGAAGTGAACTGTATTTTGCCCATTATTTCTGCTTCGAACGGTTCTGAGCTGAATCTTGAAGAATGACTCTGATTCTGACCCTGATCATTTATTTCCTTGCTCCTACTTGATAAGAATCCTATGTGCCTATAATGGGGATCCCATCCTCGTAAGAGGATATGTATCTTTTTCTACTACAAAAGCTATAGCTAGGGTTGGGTATCACTCTCAGACCGCTTTTGCTCCCTTAAGGATTTTGGCTTAGTACCAGAATCTCATGTTGCAGAATTCCCTTCTTCCTCCTGACCCATTTAAAATGTTCTTGTCTGAGCCAGTCACTGTGCCCAGGCACATAGCATATAGTGATTGGCTGGGCTGGGTTTTAAGGCCTCTTGGTGCTCAGAAGTATTATCAGCTCCACCTGAACCATAAGAAAGGAGTGGTCTGCAGGCTGGGAGAATGTGTAGATTCTCCCAAGAAAACTCTGGTACTGTTCCGTACTGGAAGAATAGAAATGATGCTGGGCAGAAAAATATCAGATGCCCATCACAGAAGAAGATATGAATTTTAAAGTAGAAGTTGTTTCTATATAGGCTTTACTTACAGTGGGAGGAGCCCTCGGTAAATACATATGTCTATTTGAGTTCTAAGAAACAAGATATGTCACTTTTGGAAGACACTTACTTCTTTATTCTTTTTTTTTTTTTTAAAGACTTTATTTATTTATTTATTTGACAGACAGAGATCACAGGCAGGCAGAGGGGGGGCGGGGAAGCAGGCTCAGGGCCAAGCAGAGAGCCCGATGCGGGGCTCGATCCCAGGACCCTGGGATCACGACCTGAACCGAAGGCAGAGGCTTTAACCCACTGAGCCACTCAGGAGCTCCAAGACACTTATTTCTTTATTCTGAAGTCTGTGTGTTTGATTGGTGGTTGTCAAAATTCATTGAGTTGGGAAACCAAGGAAATCTAGTATATGGCTCAGAATTAAAATAAGTTTATATTTTAATTCAGTAAATCATGTAAGCTTGTTCTTGCACTTTGGAGTGCTTGAATCTCAACTCTTATCATTACGCTCTCTATGTCCTTAAATAAGATATCCAAATTCTCTGAACATAATTTTCCTCATTTTACAAATGGGGATGATATAATCTTCCCTGTCTGGTTCTTGTTTGTATTAAATAAGCAAATGTTTAAAAACCATTTCATTAGTGTCTAGAGTGGAGTAAGCATTTCATAAATGCTTTCTATCATTAATATGTATGAAATATGGATGTTGAAATGATATGCCTTTGAAATAAAACAGCATACAAATACAATACCTGGAAGAATTATGTGCTGTCTGCTTTTCTTTTTCTTTTTCAGATTCCTTCAGATATATCAGAAATATGTTGTATTATTAGAGCAACACCAGGAACTAGACAAATGAAAAGTGAAAGTAATGTTATTGTAAAGAAGAAGAAATATTCCCCACCCAAAGATATTCCTCAAGGTACTATAATATGAATCCAGAGCCTACTTTTTGGATGATAGAAAATATTTTTTCATTATAAATTCCTTATGCACACAGGAAGTCCACTTACAAATTGTATTCTAGGAATTCTTATACAATTACAAGAAGTTTGGTTAGGTTTTAGAACCTGAGTAAAATATTTTTTTGAATGTCAGATATTTAATCTTTCAAAAAGTTAGCTTATGCCATTGATCTAAATGTATTTATCTAGGATACCTTTTCTTACAACTGTTTGAAATTCATTGTTGTTGGGTTTCATTTTTAGTAGAATTCTTTGTGAAGATATTCTTTATATATTTTTGCATTCACTTATTGTTGGTTGAGTACTTGCTCTGTAAAAGGCACCAAGCCAAATATCTTATTTTATCTCATTTATTTCTCACTACGACTTTATAATAGGCAGATATGTACTATTATCCTCATTTTATATGTGAAGAATCTGGAGCTTAAATTAGTATGCAGTTTGTCCAAGATTCTACTGCTGGTAGTAGAGAGGAATTCTCTCTTTTGGGGCTTTTACACTCCCAAGTTTAGGTTTTTCTGTTCTCCTGATTATATATCAGACAGAATGTCTGATTAGTCATTGGAGCCTGGGAACATTTTATGAGTAAGCAGGCAATGAAGCAGTTGAAATTTAATAGGTTATGTACAACTTCAATCCACCTAAACTGTCTACTTTTGATCCTTGTCCCCATTTCTGACACAGAGCCTACCCTGAGCACTCCCTAAGTCCACAAAAGTTGTCTTTTTTCCTAAGTTCCTTAAGTACTTAATTCAGTGCTACTCATTTGACATTTACTAAGATATTACTACCTCACATAATTCATAATACTGACTTATCATATTCTTCAGGTTAGGAAGTTTTCAAAGACAGGGACCACATAATAGACTTTTTTCTATCTCTTATCTCTGGTGACATTAGCATGGTGGTAGGGAATAGTAGATGCCGTATCAAGGTTTTCCCAAAAAAGTAGAACCAGAGGGTTATTTCAAAGCATTGACTTAGGCAGCTGTAGAGTCTGGCTGAAAACTGTAGGGCAGGCTGGAAACTCTTGAGCAGGAGTTAATGATGCAGTCCTTAGGAGGAATTTTCTTTTTTCTCTGAGAAACTTTGGTTTTGTTCTTAAGGCCTTTTAACTGATTGGATGAGGTCCACCTACATTATCAAGGATAATCTCCTTTGCTTAAAGTCTATTATTATAGATGTTAACCTTATCTACAAGTAACCTTCACAGCAACACCAAAATTAGTATTTAATTTAATTGGTTAATATAGCCTAATCAAGGTGACATATACAACTAACCATCACAGTCTACTTCATGTCAACTATGTATTCATACACATGTCCTTAAACCACAATTAATCTGTAAATAAAGAAAGTAACAAAGTTATACTTCTAACATAATACAGCTGTCCTATCCTATATACAACCCAAAATGTGCTAATTCCTTCCCCAGAAGAGGATGCAAAATCCTTGGGTGGTATTTATTCTTTTTCTTGATATCCTGTGACTCAAATACTATGATAGAGAGTAATTATTAATACATTTTATGTTAGTTGTTATAGGAATAAGAGAGGGAAGCAAACAGGTATTTGCTTAAACTAGTTAGGTAGAAATAACTGGTATTTATAACTACCTTCCTCCATTTCATATTCCCTCTTCCTTCAGCAAGAACCTCAGCTGGTCATAGTTCTTAAGCTAGTGGGGTACTATCAACCTCATTTCAGTAGGGTCTGGGCCCTTAGTCCTGGTTGGATTGGGTTGTTGTAATTTTCCATTGACCTTAATCTCAGGGCATAATAATACTAAGGGATGTCCTAAGGAATCTCCTGTATTCCAGACATACTCTTCCTTGCCTCCATTGCAGGGAAAATCTCACTTGAGTGGTCAGGATCAGTCATCCTGGCCCGCATAGTGATTCCCTTCTTTGCTTGTTATTCAGAGGCCTGAGGAGCCCAAAGCAGCCAGGTGGCAGTCTTACCTTCCAGTTCATTGGAATCATTGCTGTCTCTCTGTGGAAGCATTGTCCCTTTGGAACTAAGACCTCTAGGCTAGCAGAGCAAGGCCTGTCATGGAAACAGGAAGCAAAAAAGTTTTTCTAGTAGATTACTAGAGATGATATTGAATGATCTCACTTCCATCTCCACTTCTTGATTCCTGGACCTGTGAATCTTGGATGTGGGAGAAATAGCACCATATATTGAATGCTGATTCAGGGCATATACAAGACTCTGAGAACCTTGTTTCAGCCCTGCAAGGTATTGCTGCCTACAGGGTGCTTTAACTGAGTCTTCAAAAGGCCATTCCACTGTTCTGCCAAGTCAGCTGCTTCAAGATGGTGGGGAACATAGAAAGACCAGTGAATTCCATGAGCTTGGGCCTCTTGTCACCTTCTTTCGTGTGAAGTGGGTTCTTTTTTTTTTTTTTTTTTAAAGATTTTATTTATTTATTTGTCAGAGAGAGAGAGAGATCACAAGTAGGCAGAGAGGCAGGCAGAGGCAGAGGGAGAAGCAGGTTCCCTGCTGAGCAAGGAGCCTGATGTGGGACTCAATCCCAGGATGCTGGGATCATGACCTGAGCCGAAGGCAGCTGCTTAACAAACTGAGCCACCCAGGCGTCCCTAAAGTGGGTTCTTTGATCAGAAGAAATGCTATGTGAGATAACATAATGGTGGATAAAGTATTTTCTAAGTCTTTGGATGGTTCTTTTGGCAGAAGCATTGCATGCAAGACAGGGAAATCCATATCCAGAATAAGTGCCTATTCCAGTAAGAATAAAATGCTGTCCCTTCCATGATGAAAATTGTTCAAGGTATTCAACCCACCACCTGGTAGCTGGCTGATCACTCCAGGGAATAGTGCCATACTGGCGATTTGGTGTTGGTCTCTGCTGCTAACAAACTGAATACTCACCAGTGGCTATAGCCAGGTTGACTTTAGTGAGTTGCTGAGCTCATGAATAACCACCATCCTTGCCACCATGGCCACTTTTTTTTGTTAGCTTATTGGGTGATAGCAGAGGTGGCTGGAGAAAGAGGCACAGAATGGGTCATCTTATTTACTTGATTATTAAAGTCTTTGTCTGTTGAGACCACCCTTTGGTGAGTATTTCAGGGGACACAAATCTAAACACAGATGTTTTTTGCCCATTCAGGGAGGTCTACCCATATACTTCTTTACTAAATCTCTCGTCATCAATTTTCCAGTCCTGTCCCTTCCACATCCCTAACTATCCAGCCAAACTATTGGCCACAGTCAGTGAATCAATATATAATCATGTATCTGGCCACTTATAACAGAGTGAACAGTGAGATGTTTTTCTTGAAGTTCTACCCACTGGGAGGATATATCTTCACCAGTTTCCTTCAGGGATGTCATAGAAAGGAGCTGTAGGTCCAAGTGTTGCCTGCATATCATGTAGAACCATCTGTGAACCAAGTCTGAGCTTTTTTCCCCCCTCAATCAGCTGATTGTGGAGAACTCCCCATAATGCCAAAGGTGCAGTCTGGGAGAGAAAAGATAGTGTAGCAGTAGTACGGACAATGGACATATGGACCACATCCTCATCTAACTTACTCTTGCCTTTGGGGCTCGAGCTCAATTCCATACATATCATTTCTATCTGAAAATGCAGTGCTGTTCTGCACAGCCAACTCTGTGGCTTGGTACATCAGATTGTGTATAATTCATGGTTGGCAGCTCAGGTCTCATTGTAACTTGGTGTATCATGGTTAAATATTCAGTCTCTATGAAGGCCCAGTAGCAGACCAAAAACTGTTTCTCAAAAAGAGAGTAGTTATTCACAGAAAATGCTAAAGATTTGCTCCAAAATCCTAAGGACCTGTACTGTGATTCACCTACAGGATCCAAACAACATATATATCTCTCAATGACACTTAAAGCACCATTCAATTTTCTAGATATTATGGTACAAGTGGCAGAGCATCTTGCATAGTACCCTGGACCTGTTGTAGAACACTCTCTCATTCTGAGGCTCCCTCAAAACCAGTAGCCTTTAGGCACTGAGTAAATGGGTTGGAGTAGTGCACTCAAATGAAAAATGTTGACTCCCAAATCTAAAAAGGCCCATTAGGCATCGTGCGTCTTTTTTGGTTGTAGGACGAGCCTGATGCAACAACTTATTCTTTTCTTTAGGAAGTATATCTCTCATATCACTGGGCCCCTCCCTAGAAATTTCACTGAGGTTGAAAGAGACCCAGCAATTCCATTTCCCTGGACCATGGAGACCCAGCAATTCCACTTCCAAGAGTATATCCAACTGTAGTGTGTACATATGTTCATCAAAAGATGTTTGCTAGAATGTTTATAGCAGCATTTGGATAATAACCCCAAATAAGAAATAATCCAAATGCCCATCAACAGTGGAATGGATTAATAAATAGTGGCACATTCATTCATTGGAGTGCTATATAGCAGTGAGAATCAACAATGTGCAGTTACATGCAACAGTATTTATAAATCTCACATAAGGACTCAGACACAATAGAGTACATTTAACATTACTTATATTTAATACAAAGCTAGGCAAAACTAATCTATGACGAAAATCACCATAGTGGATGTACTAGTTAGGGAGGGGCTATTAACTAGAAAGCATTATGAGAGGAAGTTATCTAGGTACTAGATACTAGTACTAGGTACTATTGGTATTTGTTCTGTTTCATTATCTGAATGCTGGTTAGATGGGTATAGTAAGTCTGTGAAACCCATCAAACTTTACAGTACATATATGCAAACTTCTCTGTGTGTATGCTGTATTTTAGGAAAAAGTTATAAAATAGAAAAACTTCTCTTAATTTGATCTTTATGACAAGTCATATTAATCTATGACATGTAGCATCACAGTTCTGGGTATAAGTATGCGACAACTCAAAACTAAAATGTGTCTGGGAAGTTCTGAATATTTAGACTAAAATTTTTCATATAATTCAGAGACCCCTTGATGTATGTTGAACTGATTATGCCATCTCCTGGCTTCTTTATAGGTTCTCACCTCATTTGGCAGCCTCTTCGTTTAAGTAATTCCCCCTTCAACTTCTGGCCACTTGTCTCTGCCTTTCCTTTAGTAAAAATAGCAAAACCCCAAGCTAACTAGTGATCATGTTATTTTAAACATGTAACAGCCTATTTTTAGTCCTGACATTTAACATTTAGCTAGTTTGCCAGTTATCTAATCAGGACGGTAGGATGAAGCTTACTTTTGATGGCCTAGGACCCCTGTTTGTTATGATACTTGTTCATTAATAATGCTGATTAGAGAAAAAATGTGGTGAAAGTAAACCACTAGAGGAGTTCAAAGGAGATGTGATAGAGGAGGTGGTGTGGGTAAGGAGAAGTTTGAGAATGGTGACAGCCTAAAGAAAGAGGCCTTAGAGGATATCCAGTCCAAGATTTCTCAATGTGTAGTCCTCTAACCACGTACACCAGAATTACTGCGGACCTGGCAAATTTTGTATTCTCTAGAGATATGGCACAGGGATCTACAATTTGAAGAATTCTCAGAGTGATTCCAAGACGCACTAACATTTGAGAGGCATTTAATGATCTAGTCTATTTTGCTCACTTTACGTATAATAAAAATGACCTAGTCAGATCAATAAGTGATTTGTTTGAATACACCAACTAATTACTGGTAGAATCAGAATTAGAACTTAACTTTCTTAATTTGCAATAGTTTGACTGGGTAACTGTCAAATAAGGCATTGGGAGGGGTAGAGTAGATAGGGCTCTGAGTTTCTCAGTTCCTCCATACAGAGACATTTTGCTTCTCTTTGTTTTATATTTTTCTTTCTCTTTGTACAGACTTCTGTATTCTATTTAAAGAGGTTTTTTTTTTTCCCCTCAAGAAGATGCTTGGAAAATCATTGCTATTTCTTATAGCAATAGATGTCTAATATTACTTTAATTTGGCTAATAAGCATGTATTGCACACTGCATTATTAGCTGGGGATAAGAGTACAGCCTTAGCCCTCTAGGGCTTACAGACTAGTGATGAGTCAGATCACATAGTCTTCTCTATAACATGATAAAATTGGAATAAGGCGCTGCAGGAATCGAAGAGGGGATATTTTAGCTTTGCTTTGGAAGACTTCCTAGCTAACAATACATTTTGGAAAATCAGACAAAACTTGAAGCTATCCTTATAGTAAGGTTTTACAATTTCTCTTCAATTTTGATCTTTAGAAGACATGATAAATGATGAGTTATAGATTCATATCTTAAGCTTATAGTACAATAAAAGCCTTTAACTAGATATGTATACATCTTTATTGAGAAGCTTGAGTTTTTAGATAAGAGCATACAGATGTATCACATAGAAATATGACAAATGAGATGGAAAAGGACTTGAGTATCCTAGGGATGGTAGTAGAAATCACTTAAGAATAAGACATCCCTTCATTATCATTTGTTTCCATGAATTTTTTCAACTCTTCTTTAATTTCCTGGTTGACCCATTCATTCTTTAGAAGGATGCTGTTTAGTCTCCATGTATTTGGGTTCTTTCCAAATTTCCTCTTGTGATTGAGTTCTAGCTTCAGAGCATTGTGGTCTGAAAATATGCAGGGAATGATTCCAATCTTACAATAGCCAAACTATGGAAAGAACCTAGATGTCCATCAACAGACGAATGGATAAAGAAGATGTGGTATATATACACAATGGAATACTATGCAGCCATCAAAAGAAATGAAATCTTGCCATTTGCGACGACGTGGATGGAACTAGAGGGTATCATGCTTAGCGAAATAAGTCAATCGGAGAAAGACAACTATCATATGATCTCCCTGATATGAGGGAGAGGAGATGCAACATGGGGGGTTAAGGGGGTAGGAGAAGAGTAAATGAAACAAGATGGGATTGGGAGGGAGACAAACCATAAGTGACTCTTAATCTCACAAAACAAACTGAGGGTTAATGGGGGGAGGGGGGTTGGGGGGGTGGGATTATGGACATTGGGGAGGGTATGTGCTATGGTGAGTGCTGCGAAGTGTGTAAACCTGGCGATTCACAGACCCGTACCCCTGGGGATAAAAAGATATTATATGTTTAAAAAAATAAAATTAAAAAAAAAAAGAACCTTACAGTCTAGGAAGAAAAAAACAGAATTCGACTGGAAATTAACTATAATTATTATTGTAATTATTATGATTAACATTATGATAAATACTATGAAAATACTATGATGTGGGCAAGTACAGAATGTTGTGGGAATACAAGGAAAGACAACTAATCCTTTTGGAGACAGATGCAGAGATAATCACTACATATGTCCATTTACATGTATCCATGGCAGTTATAAAGATTTGGGGTCAACTGCACAGAGATGGTACTTGAAATCAGAGTTAGATGAGATTACCCAAGGAGACGAGGTAACATGAGAAGAAGCCCTAGAAGAGAACCCCAGGAAGCACCAAAATTAAAGGCTGGACAGAGGAAAATGAGCCTTCAGAAGAAATGGAAGAGAAAGAGCTGGAGATTGGATGAAAGCCTGGAGAGTAACATTTCTAAGAGATCATTCCTTACTGGAGGCTTTCAAGAATAGAACACTAGTCTACAATATCATTAGCTGGGAGAGAGGTTGGTTGGGTAAGATGCGAACTGAAAAATACCTCTTAAGATTAGCATCAGGGAGATTGCTAGTAACCTTGAGGGGTGCAGTGTCAGTGGAGAACCAGAGCTGAACCCAGACTCTGTGTGTGTTGGGCTCAGGGGGAAGAGGAGGAAGGGCTGAGGAGTGAGGGACTGGTGCAAAAGTAGACAGCACTCTTTTTAGGAAATCGGGGTGTAAAAGGGTGAAGCATGGGTATATAGAAGAACATATGCAGTCACGGAAGGATTTAAGATGTAAGATGGGTCAACATTTTAAAATACAGTTTAGAAAGCAATATTACATTAGAAAAGGTTATAAATAACGTTTATCTGGAAAGTCTGGGTATTATGCCTTTCATATAAACACAATATAAGATGAAGAGGCTATTCACAACTGAACAAACCATGATAAATTATACCTTGGTGAGGTGAAAAAACACTCCAGTTAAAATTTTTTAAATATGGGACACCTGGGTGGCTCAATCAATCAAGCCGCGCTGCCTTCAGGTCAGGTCATGATCTCAGGGTTCTGGGATCAAGTCCCACATTGGGCTCCTTGCTCAGTGGGGATCCTGCTTCTCTCTCTGCCTCTGCCTGCCACTCTGCCTGCTTGTGCTCTCTCTCTCTCTGACAGATAAATAAATAAATAAAATTAAAAAAAAATTTTTTTTTTATTGTAAATGACATTACATCTGCTCCTTCATGCATTTTCAACTGGATTTGGGTACTTATGACCTGAGATTTTTTTTTCATGAAGTAAAATTTGAAAAATTTAAATGTTTAAAAATTATTATTAATCAGTTATATATTGAAGTAAAGAGATCAAGTCCTATTGTTAACTAGTTTTAGATCACAGACAACTTTGAAAATGTGATTAAAAACTATGGACACCCTCTCTCCAGAAGGGAAGAACTGTTTCTGGTGCTCTTCTAGGGAGATTCACTGAAAGAATTCTAAGGCCTACCGACAGATAAAAAGTTAAGTGTACAACCTTCTTGTGGGATTTGCTAACAGTAATCCTCTTTGGACTTCTCCTGCCTTCTAGATAACCATCAAGTTTATTTTACTTTCCTTCCTTTTAATCATAATAGAAGTCATACCCTCCCCACTAAGGCTCTTGAATGCCAGTTGTAAATCCTTTTCCCCTCCCATTTTTCCCTATCCTCTAGCTGATAAAACAAAAAAACTGGGCTTAAAATACTTTTGCCTACAAATCAAGGCTCTGTCACTTTCCAAATCATGTCAGCCTCATCTAAGTATATAACTCTTTCTGAGCTAGCTCTATTTTCCTTATGAGCAATATGAAATAAGTGTTTATTTCCTCTAGCCCCACTAGGCCCAACCTAGGAATCAGGTGTCATTCTTTCTCACAGGAACCCACCACCTGATTAGAAACTACCAAGTAATTTGTCCTCTTGCTTTCCACTTGGATGATAAACTCCTTGAAAGTAGGGAATAGGCCTTCTATTTCATTTCTTCTTCCCCACATTGCTTGTCACATTTCTGCTTTTATAACCATCCCAAGTGCTTTATTGGTTGAGTACTGATTTAAAATCCAGATCTAAATTGGGTTTTAGCCTCCATCTTTAATGGTCTCTTCTACATTTCCTAACAACTTTCCTGTATTTCACCTCCAGATGAGAGTGTGAAATAGAAATCACAAATAGCTTTGTTAGTGGCTTAAGGCCTTGTCAAATAATTCATAAGAATATCTTCAGGGGTGCCTGGGTGGCTCAGTGGGTTAAAGCCTCTGCCTTCAGCTCAGGTCATGAGCCCAGCATCCTGGGATCAAGCCCGGCATCAGCATCATCAGCATCATCATCATCATCATCATCATCACCACCACCACCACCACCACCAGCACCAGCAGCAGCAGCAGCAGCACCACCACCACCACCATCACCAACACCAACACCACCACCGGCTCTCTGCTCCGTGGGGAGCCTTCTCCACCCCCCCACACTGCCTCTCTGCGTACTTGTGATCTCTGTCTGTCAAATAAATTTTAAAAATCTTAAAAAAAAAAAAAAGAATATCTTCATGGAACTCCTCTTTAAAAATGAATGCTATATAGTTTACAAAATCTCAAATTAATTCATTGATTTTAGAATTTTCTTTCTTACTGAAGCAGCTTTGAAAATCTGACTCTTACTTTTATGTATAACATTAGTAAACCATCAAGAGTTAAAATTTCACCAACAGTTATATAATTGTACTATGTTCACTGACAATAGGACTGCTGTTTTTTAGGAAGAGCAGTGTAGAGACACCACAACAAATAATATCTCACATGAATAAACACATAAAATCTTACAGACAGTATTAGCTAAAGAAGGTATGAGAATGAGGTAATACATCAAAAACTTAGTGTATGATTGATTGTACATATTATACATTCCCTGCTTCAGCAAAGTTGAGTATAGAGTTTCTTTCAGTCAGACCTGGAATTAGGTCTCTCACTCATGTGGTTTCAATTAAGTTCTGTTAAAAATAGCTCGTAATATAAGCATTTTCATTTTTAGTGCTTCAACTTTACTACTTTAATCCATATAGAGGACAAACTCTGGGGGAAAAAAACAAAGGGAGTTACACAGTAGCCTGGTACTTTGCTCTTTATAAATAGCTGAAATCATTTGTTTAGTGTACAGTCTTTTAATATAAGCTATTTGTTCTTATTTTACAATACAAATACATATATTTAAGAGACATACATAAGAGTGTTTCTTTACTGATTAAAAGTAAATTATAAGAATCTCAGTAGAATTTCATCACTAGGTTATATCACATATAATTAGAGAATTTTGATTTTTGCATTATATATAATTTCAGGCAGACATTCTGCTTTATGGACTTTGACTTCACATTCATGTATATCTTCAAAGTGGTGACAATTCAGCCATGGCTGCTACATTCTGCCATTTGTTTTTATTATA